ACTATTTCAACCTTTCGTAGCAAAATCCGAATACGCAGAATAGGGGCGTACGTCTTCCCAGCAAGCATTTATAGGCAGAATTTATTCGTACTGGACTCTTATTGCTCTCACATACGGCTCATTATGGATTAATATTTGTAAGTTTTTTGGGGAATATACTAATACCGTTTTTTCAATAAACAATTTGCAAAAGTTTCGGGGTGGCTTTCTTTTACGGCCACCGCCATTCTTCTCCGGCAATTCTACTTAGTAAGGGTTTAGTCCATAAGCGCGGACGAAGACTGCCTCCGCAAAAGTAGCTTTTTTAATAAAAGCCACCGGAGCATGGCGCCTTCACCTTTATGCACTAGAAATGGTATATACCGTGGGCGGCCCCCTCTTCTCCGGCAACACGGAAAGGTTCAAGTCAGTGCCTTCATCTACCCAAAGCAAGCGAAAATTTAGATATTTTTCCCTTTTTTGTAAGGCAGTGAGGAGTTGCATTTTTATAAATGGCGGCTCATGGCCTCTCTAAAATGGGGTACAAGAGGAGCCGTGCCTCCTACCGCTCCGCCCACCACGCACACAACGTAAAGGAAAGTTTCAGTCATACACACAGTGAACCAAAAAAGAAGTTGTACATTTAAGATACTCATCTTCAAAGTTGAATATCTGCCGTTAGTTAAGCTATTTAGGCAAAATAAAAAGTAATTTAAACACAGATACTCCGGTTTCATGCCAACAATAAAAATTTATCTCAAATAACTACGCTTAGCTCTGAAATTTAAACAATGCAAATAATCTCCCTTTTTCGAAACCAAAAAAAAACTTGTACACTAAGTGCAAAATGATTAACTGGTTAAGAAGTTAACTATTTAATACAAGTTAGTATTAAGTTCAGCAAACCTTATCTTCACGGATGAATCCCAATTTAATCTGCTTGGATCTAATGGGCGTGCGTTTTTTTTTGCGTAAAGAAGGTGAGGCATTAAATAAAAATAATTTAAACAAAACGATAAAACATACCGGTGCCAGAATCATGGTATGAAGAACGATGGGCACAAACAGCGTCGGAAATTTAATTTTTGATGAAAGCACCATGAGCAAAGTGAACTACATACTTGAAAATTTGAGAAGAATACTTAGGACAG